ATATTGTTTGAAATTTGACAATAATTAGTGATTATTGTCAAATTTAAGAAGAAATGTTGATTTTATTTTGAGTGTAGTAACTTTTTCAACCACCAGATGGCAGTATAAGACTGTTTGAACTAAAGGATGGATAGTGAGGGAGCGAGCAGCATGTCTTTTATTTTATTTTATTTTTTTAATTTTTTCTCTCAGCATGTCTCTTTAAGATAAATGGAAGGGAGGCCCCTTGACGTGACATGGGCTGTCTCTCCATCCTTCTTTTCCGATTCTCAAAATGGCGGACGCTCGTTGTGGTTTGAGCTCTTTAGCATAGCATTTTTCACACAAAGCTTTAAATAAAAAAAATCGGTAAACAATTTCTCAGCTTCTTTTTGCAGAGAAAAACAACTTTTTACACGACGGCACGGCTTTCAACCATGAATTTTGGAGCTTTGACAAGACGGAAGTTTTTTCCCGAGGTTGGCCTGTTAGCTTAGCTCGTAGCTTAGCTTCTCAGCTTAGCTGCTTTTAATGATCCAAAAGCACGATGTTGGATGCTTAAAACAGATTTTAAAGAGAAAAGAGAAAGGGAGGGGTTAGTGAAGAGCTTTTTGTCATCCAGTGTCTTCAGTAGAAAGAGAGACTCAAAGAAACGATATCGCCGATAAATGAAAATGAGGTTGATAATTTCCTGGTGATGCTGGAAAGATGCTGAAAAACATACGGAAGAAAAATAGATCACAATCACGTGAATGCTTCATAAACATTCACGCAACTAAAACCTTGTGAGGTTGCCATTACATTTGGCAAAATTAATACCTTTATTAATAATATAGTGGGTTTTTTTTCCCCAAAAAATAAATCTATTAGCACAGTTTAACCTTAAGAGTGCACACGGTTTGATAAAACAGCTTGTCCATGTCGGGGTTGTAATAGGTCCAGAAAAACCAAATCATTGTTGAAACTCACCAAGCTCTGTGTTGTTCTTCCTGTTGGGAACTCTCACTTCTCTCATGCTGTTTTCACCATTTTTCAGTTGAATCTGCGATATCACCCACTATTGCTGCCACCAGCATGACCAGTAGTGAGTATGCCAGTCGAGCAGTGTGTCACTCCTCACCAGTAACTTTACTTATTTGGCCTCCCAGTTAGTGTAGATGTTTGTTTTTTCTCATAAGAAGGGTTGCGTCTTTACTAAAGATTATAACCAAATCAACAAAAGTAAATGCCAACATGGGTACAGCTAACTGTTGTAAAAAGTAGATTTTAATCTTACTAACGTATTGTGTGGTAGATTAACCACCTGAGTGTGGAGTTGTGTCACAGTTTGAATGTTGGTGACAAGTTTGAAAATGGTTTATTATTGGTGTAAGTTTCCTTGGCTTGAATGTTTGTCTTTAAGCTTAAATCATCGGCTGCAGAACTAACATACGTGTGTTTGCATTAGGGATGATTAGTTAATGTCTTGGTGCGAAGTTGGTTGGCTTAACGAATAATTCTATGTTAATGTTGTTTGTTAAAAGCACTCGGTGTTGGGAACCTCCATCTTAGATCCTCCCAGGTGATGTGGGTCATAAAACCAGTATCTGGACATCCTATGGCAATAATTATAAAGCTTAATGTGTTTCTTTGGATGGATTATTAAGACAAAAAATGTGCTCAATTTGAATGTCCAGTAAAAAGTGATATTTAAGTGAATTTATGAATTTGGAATTTAAATAAGAAACTCATGATCCACGATGACACAGTTTTGGAGAGTAAATGATCCCGACAGCTGTTGGTTCATAAATAGGCTCTTCACTATATATTTTTTTATGCATTTGTTTCATTGTAATTCAGTTTATTCAATTCAATTGAATTCAGTTTATTTCTATAGCACCAAGTCACAACAGAAGTCATCTCAGGACACTGAACAGAAACATTCATATAGATAAAAAAAAAAACAAGTTAACATTATTTCTCTGAGGAGCAGACTGCTTTGAGTTTATCGCCATCGCAGAACTCTCATCTTGAGCAAACACGAAGACAAAGGTGGAAAGGAAAAACTGCCTCACGAGGAAGAAACCTTTAGCAGAACCAGACTCGGGACAAGCGGACATCTGCTTCGACTGGCTGGGTTTGAGAGGAACAGATACACAATGGCAGGTTGAGAATCACATGTTAAGATAGAACTACTATCAAATGAAAACTAGTAATGAATATAAAAATAGTCCAAGCCTATGGCAGCATAGCAAATCAACCCTAACTATAGGATTTATCAATAAAGAAAGTCTTAAGTCCAGTCTTAAAACTGGACAATGTGTCCACCTTACAGACAGAAACAGGAAGTTGGTTCCACAAGAGAGGAGCCTGATAACTGAAAGAGCTTCATCCCATTCTGCTTTTGGAAACTCTAGGAACCACAAGTAAGCCTGCAGTCTGACAGTGAAGTGCTCTGTTAGGAAAATATGGAACAATAAGATCTGTAATATAAGCTGGAGCTAGGTTGTTGAGGGCTTTGTAGGTTAGAAGTAAGATTTTGAGTTCAGTTCTGGATTTGACAGAGAGCCAATGGAGAGAAACTAAAACTGGAGAGATATGATCTCTCCCATTAACTCCAGTTAAGACTCTGGCAGCAGCATTTTGGACCAACTGAAGACTTTTTAAAGAAGTATTTTGACACCCAGATAATAAACCATTGCAATATAGTTTAAATATGCCGTCCTGTACTATCTTCAGTATAACAACGAGCCAGAGTTTAAAACCGTTACAGATATTTTGTTTAGCCATTTTCTTTTTATATTTCTTGATTAAAACTGATTTCTCCTCTTAACATTATGAGAGCTATTTAAGCACGTGTCATCATCATAGTGACCTGTCAGGTCAGACACAGTTTCAGACCATTTGGCAACACAATCAGTGTTTAGGACAGGACTGTGTTTTCATTTAGTCATATTTAACTGGTACCTTACTGGGCTGTGGCTACTGGTGATTAGTTCAAACACAGCCTTTGTTAGGGAGTCTCCAGAATGACTTGTGACGTTTGTTCTAGTTCTTCATTTGGTGCTTGAATCACAAAAGCTCACAGTCTTGTTGCTTGAACTTTGAACGTGTTAGAACATTTAAATACTCTCTTGAAATAGTGTCTCAAAACCTTTCTCCAACTCTTTAAAATCAGAAAAGCTGTCCTCTGTGAACATGATTAGGTCCAAAGCAATGCAGATTTTATTTATTTATTTAATTTTAACAGCTGTTCCTTCTTCAGGGGTCGCCACGGCAACTGAACTCGCACAGAGACAGTTGTTTTTCACGCAGGATGACCTGCTTGACGCAACCACTGATTACAGAGTTACTGCAGGCCTCTGTGTGGAGCAGAGGGCTGCCGTCCGTGGCATCCGAAGACGGGGTTCAGGGCCTTGCCCAAGGGCACAGAGTGAGGCAGATGAGGACGGAAGCAGATGTGGGTGCTTCACCTTTTCCAAACAGATTTTTTATCGAGGGATTGAACCTACAACCTCCTGATCACAGCCTTGCCTTCTCTAAATTCTGCACTTTAGTCTAAAACAATGCAGATGATGCACATCAAAAAATAATTGGTTAAAAAAAGATAATCCAGCAGATTAAATCATAAACCTGGGGACACCTGCCGTACAGTGGGCTCCATGCAACCGAGGTGAGTATGATGTAGGAGGAGGACACCTATGCAAGCAGTGCTCACAAAATTAAACCATGATTTTCTGCAAACATGATCATCCGTGGGACTTCCTGCCTGACCTAATCTGTAAGTCTGTTTTGATCCTCAAAAATGCCACTGCCTTTCTTTCTCCACAACATTAAGGTCAAAAATGAGTCGCCAGCTCTCCTCCAGCAGACACAGTTCAGTGAGATATTACCTTTAAACACGTTTTGACTCGCTGCTGTGGGGAGCAATGAACAGGAAGCAGACCACTCAGACATGTATTCCATCTTTTGTATTTACTTTACATTTAAAACTAACGACGCATTTTACTGAGCAGTCTGAATTATATATATGTATATATGTATATATAATCCACACATTTCAACCAACCAAGACTGCATTTTCAGCCACTTTTTTCCTTCTGTTATTTAATATTGTTTTTAATATGATTTGTGCATATATTTACTCCCCTTGTTTTATTTGTGATTTTGCTCTAACATTTTCATTTGTTTTGATTCTTTTTTTTTATATATATATGTTTTCATCATTTAAAACTGTTTTGTTTGTGTTTCCCCATATCAACCCTCCCCACACCCCACCCCCACTCCTCCTGTGCTTTTTCTGTTTTTATTTTACGTTTCCTTTCAACCGTTCATGTCCGCGCACATCATGTGACCTTGTCATGTGGCTCTTTCATGGTGCTGATGATGTCGTCTTCGGTGATCAACAGAAGGTAATTTGTTTTTTGTTCATGGGGAGTTTGTCAAGTTTATTTAGAAACATAGACATTCACACTCTTTTTTTTTTTTCTTTTAATTTAACTAATTTTGTTTGCTTTGCCATTACTTCATACATTTTCTCTTCTGTCTAAGTAAAGACAAATACAAAGTATGTAGACTATTTTGTCATATATATATATATATATATGCACAAACCGGATTCCAAAAAAGTTGGGACACTAAACAAATTGTGAATAAAAACTGAATGCAATGATGTGGAGATGGCAAATGTCAATATTTTATTCGTAATATAACATAAATGACAGATAAAAAGTTTAATCAGAGTAAATGTAACATTTTAAAGGAAAAATATGTTGATTCAAAATTTTACAGTGTCAACAAATCCCCAAAAAGTTGGGACAAGTAGCAATAAGTGGCTGGAGTGGGGGCAGACGGTGGGACTGTGTGTGGTGGATTGAGTCCAAGTCTGGATGAAAAAAAGTCCTGATGGGCTACGAAAACAGCTCCAGACCTTTGACGCGCGTCCTCGTTTAGAAGTTTACATGGGCCAGCCACCAGCTCTCAAGATTCACTGATGGGTCTGGAGGTCTGGTTCTGGTCCGGTTCGGTGGGTTCAGTGCGGCTCCTCTGCATTCGCTGATCAGATCAAAACTTTACCTTTGTTTTTTGGTTTTGTTTTTTTTTATTCAGCAAAAGAGGGCATCTGGGTGGAGTCCTATTGCCTTCTGGGAAATGTGGTTGTTATGAGCAGGAATACAGTGTAGGCTTATTGAGAGAAAACTACAAAATGGCGGTGCTTGTGCGAAGTATTTTATTTTTTTAACTTTTTTTACTGTACAGTACTGTATCCAGTACTGTCCCAATCACGTGAGTAATATTAAAGTTGACAATAATGTGTCCTGTACACATTTTTTTGTACAATATGGACTGTACGTCCACAAGCCATGATAGTGGGAGTCTGCGAAAGTCGAACCGCAAAGTAGCGAGGGACTGCTGTATGCATAATTTTCCTCTGCTTTACAAAGTTTAGGTTGATTTATTTCTGAACATATAGTGACAAAACAAACAGCATGCTGTGCCTTTTTCTGCAAATCCTTAAAGTAATGCAGCCGATACTGCAACTGTGCTAATTTATTGAACTACCTGTTATTTAACTTACAATTTGTTGTTACACAAGGTCACTGAGATGCAAACAGTGTAAAGATGATGTACTGAGCTCTGTAGTCTGTATTTCACTTTGCTGCAACTGCTGCCAAAAGTATTTGTGCAAGTCTCCAGAAGGTCTCAAAACAGGTTTTTTTTGGGGGGTGGGGGGGGGGGGGGGGGGTTGTTCTCATTTTCCTTGAGTGAGTCCAAAAAAAAAAAGACTTACAGTCTTGTCACTTGAATTCTGAATGCACACAATAAAAGATTGCTACAAACTTGCTTTCAAAAATATTTGTGGGTATTTTAAACCCATTTCAAGAGCATTAGAGCTTTATTCCAAAAAGTGAAGTGCTGATTTTTATTTAAATAATTAGGTTATTTTACTGATTAATAATGAATAATTTGATTATATTCAACTGCATTAATGGGATTTTTTTAGTAATCTCATTTTAGGTTTGATTTCCAGGAGTGTACATTTTTTTTTTTATTTCAGTCTTAGTCTAGTCATGTTTTACTAGCTTTTAAATCACAATTAAAATTTTTAATATTACGAGAAACCTCACAATGTGCCACAGACAGAGATGTGCATCATACTCTATTAAACATGGCCACTCACGTGATATTGGTTTTGCTTTTCACTCCCAGCAGTACCTTGATTTAGACCGAACTCAAATTACATGACATTCCTGCAGTATGCATGTTTTATCCTCTTTCTTAGTAATTTTTTTCTTGTTCCACTGAAAATGTCACTCCTAGTGCATGCACGTGCATCTTTACGGTTATGTCTCCTTTAATGAACCTGAACGACATCCACACCTGTTTGCAACATTCACTTAATTACTGATAGTGCTGTGGCAACTGGTTTTCTTTTGAATAGTGTTCAGCATCAGAGGGAACGCTGAAAGCATAATGGTTATTAAAGCTTTACATGAAAGCATGTTTCAAGCCATTCTTTTTTAAAACTGCTTAATATTTGATAGAACATATAAAAGGTGTTGCGTTAGCTTGAGCTGCATGTGCAACCTCATTTATGTCTTACAAAGACTTATGTGGTCGGAAGTCTACATGTTCCCATTTTTAAATGTGCGGCAACACCCACATTTTCCAGCCAGGAGCCTTTAATTCTAACTGCTTCTCTCTCTCAGCTGTTAAAACCTCAGAAAATGTTTTATAACTCTGACTGATGCTTGTGGCTAACATGTACATATATGAACGCTCTGATGCCTAGCTGCCACCATGCTGCTGCTGCTCATACTTACTGGAATTTTTTTTTTTTTTTTTTACCTTCAGTCATGCTTCCTCCAGTCTGGTAGAGTTCTGTTTCTGAGCAGGTTGATTTGAATACCTGTCTTCATGCATGTTCATTCTCATAATTGCAGCCACTAACAGCGTGAAGGCCAAACTTTTGGTGGCCATTTACCTACTGGGGGAAAAAAAATATTTAAGCTTTGTCTTTATTACAAAAATTTATATTTCCTGCTGTTGAGGTTTTTAATATTAGAGCATGAGCTCAGTGTAAAGTGTAAATAGCTGATAAAGTTGGCTTTTTAAGCTTTTTGTACTGCCTGTGCAGCATTCACAGTGACATGAAAGTGAAAGCTAACACCCACGCAGCTAACTGAAAAAACACTGACCTCGCCTCCCAAAAGGCTGTGTCAATGTTATTAAATGTAATAAGGTAACATGTCCAATCAAGGCCTTTAGGCTCATTATCCGGCAGCCCAGCAGAAATGACTCAGGAGGACCGAGCTGATAATGAGGAGCCTCGACGAGAGCACCACCTCAGTCAGTGAGGCAGACTCTCTGCCCGCTGCTCCTTCAAGTTGTTGTTTCGACTGATCTATTTTTTTTTAATGAAAATTTACTTTCTTAAATTAGAGCTCAACGGTTTTAACAAGGGCTCTGAATGAAACGGTACAACTTTAAAAGATGTACAAATTTTCCTTGTTCTTTTAAATTAAAGCCACTAGAGCAAGGCAAGAAACATAAAAAGCGTTGATAGTAAATGACTAATTTCTTATGTTTTATGTGTAATTAAGAGTAAGTAATTTTGTTCAAGATTAAGATCAGTTATTTTGAAGTGAAAATAATTATTAGTATCTCAGTCAAAATGCACTTTCACAAAACTTTTCTACGAAACAACCATGAGACCAGTCCATCAGCAGCCTCTGATCATCCATAAATCATGTCCATAACTGGCCATGCTGGTGCTCATATAGACATGAGCTTTCTGAAATAAAACAAGCTTCATAAAACCAAAAACGACATGTAGTGGAACTCATACACATTGATGTGGAGAACGCCACCGCCCATACAACCTCAAACCATTCAAAAATCAAAGCAAAGCAGACAGATAGCATCCGTCTTTGAGCATTGAGTACAGGAGATCTCCATTTGGAGGATGGGATGGGGGGGTCAGGGTTAATCGTTTTCTAGTTAAAAACAAATTGAATATTCTAGAGTTTTATTGCCATTCAAGTGGTCATAATGTATTGTATGTATTTTAAATGGTGAACACGTGGGCCCTCTTCTTGCTAATTTTTAGCTTACTTTTATTATAAGTTCTCCCTACGTTCCCCAAACTGTTAAATTACTAATAAAAACCAAGAAGTAAATTTGAATATTGCACTGAGCCAACAAGGATCCCATGAATAACACTACATTTAACACCACATACACATTTGCTATATATTTTTTTCTGTATTGTACATTTAGCTGATTTGAAAAGAGTATCGGTCAAAGCTGTGAATTCTAGCAGTTGGATCAGAACCATCGTTTTGTTGACTAACTGTAATTCTGTATTTTGTCCTGTGTAGGGGAACCGAACGCCCCCAAACTAGAGACCATATCTGCAAAAGAGGGTAATTCCATTAAGGTAAAATGGATCAAGCAGGACGACGGTGGTTCTCCCATTAAACACTACCTGCTCCGATACAAAGCTGTGAGTACTCTGGCTAAAAAGGTAACTCGGTACCACTTTGCATGTTCTTCTTCTTCTTTATTTTTTTATTTTTTTTTTTTTAATAAGAAAATGTAAAGTTAAAGTATTATCAGTGTTCAGAATTATCACCTTGCCGAATGGAAAAAGAGATAACCAGCCGGGCTCTGTCAGAAAATGACAACTGCCAGCAACACTAAAATACGTTTGGATTGACTTTAATCAATAAGCCATTGTTTTCCCTCTGCAAGTTTTATATCCTTAAAAACAAAACATGTTCCCAGAATGAGTTCTGCCCATTTTAAATGAGCATTTTCCACTGGGGAAGATATAAAAGTGTAGAAAAGGCAACTAGTAAGACAAAAATCCTCCATCTGGCTTATGACCAAATGTGTTTTCTATGGTAACTCAATATCATCATTTTTAGACACTACGACTGGCACTAGCATGTGCCCCCCCCCCCCCCACACACACACACACACTTCCTCCACGCTTGGGCTTTTTCTTTTTAGTTGCTACATTTTTGTGCTCAGTACAGATAAGATTGTTTCGCTTACCATATTTTCTGGCGTATAAGTCGCATCAGACAAAAAAGCATCACGAAGAGGAAAAAGCATAGTACTGTACTTTATACTGTAAGCCGTTTCAGCGTATAAGTCACATGTATTATGCGTTTATTTAATTGTCAAAACAGTTCAATTTTGCCTGGACGGTGCGGTGCAGTCCATCCATCCATCGCAGCCGGCGCTGCTAGCTCTCCAGCGTTCCTCCGCCTGCACCGCTGTTGCAGTTCTTATCATTTTAAAGCGGCAGTCAAAAATTGCGTTCTAGTCGCAGGACTGACCAATATATGCAAAAAAAACTGCGACTTGTATGCTGGGAAATATGGTACGTTAGAAATTGACCAAAGTCACACTTAACTATTATTTACATTTCTTTATCTGCATTCTTTACTCAGAAACATGTAATGGACTGGAAACCAGAGCTCCGCTTTCCCTCAGCCAGTGAGTACGCGGTGTTGTCCGGTCTGGATTGGAACACAGATTACGAAGTCCACGTGGTGGCGGAGAACCAGCAGGGCAGATCTGAGCCCTCCGTGTCTTTCTTCAGGACAGCTATAGAGCCCACTACCATCCCAGGTACTATTCTCATCATCCCACCCTGTGCATCCACACACACCAGCTACAGTGCATGTGAGCTTCCATCGTGACCAAAGAATCTGCACTAATTGAATTCTTGACTTTTTATTCAGAGCTTGCCAGCTGTAGGGACTGCCATTGAAAAAGATTAGGATTTTTACATTTTCATACATGGTAACAACATATTTGCAAATAAAATGGCGCATCGTTGTCTAATTTTCACGTAAAACAGTTTTGCACAAATGGTCACGGTTAGTCTCTGCACTGTTGCTGTGTTTTAAATTGCAACGTTTAACCCTGGGCTATGTCCCCACCCCACTAAACCTGAGCTACTGTTTGTAACTGGTTCAACTTTTTTCATGTTCATCTTTTTTTTTTTATCTCCCTGAAGAATACATGTCATGTTTTCCTCCTGCGACTCCCTGTCTTCCCCTTCATTGTCATCATCTCTTTCCGTGCTGTCATGCCTCCTCCTTTATTTTCTCTCTCAAAAGAGTTTATTGAATCAAGCACTTATCTTGTTAACTGTCAAGGTCGCAGAAAGGGACGGATGAAATTGCACAAAAATTGTTAGATGGATTTTAAGAAAGAAACACGGTGCTCTGTTAGTAAGAAAGTAAACGGGGCAGATCCATTATTGGTCGCTTTAGAATATAGTTTATTTTTATTAAACCTAACCCAGTATAAATGAACATTTTCTGATTAACTCTACCTGTAGAGAGGAAGAAAATCAATATTTTAAGGTGTTTTTGGGGGGAATTGGAATGGTGTTTTCTTGTTACATTATTATCAAAATGTATTGGATATGGATTAAAATGATGAAAATCATTCAACATTGTTCAAAATATAATAATTCAGTTCAATTCAGTTTATATATATATCTATCTATCTATATATATATATATATATATATATATATCTATCTATCTATATATATATATATATATATATATATATATATATAGTGCCAAGTGCCAAAAGAGACTTGGCTCAAACCAAATCCAGTTTTTATTTTGGAACAATTATTGTCAACCTCTACTAAAGCATATAGATAATATTTGTATAAAGAAGGCATGGCCTACAAAGCTGTTGCACACATAAGCTTTACATGTGGAAAATCACGTTGTTCAAATGAGAAAACCACATGGGAAACACATGTTCTGCACACCTTTCCCATATAATTATGTGACATTTTGATCATGTTCATGTGATTCCATGCAGTCCCATGTTTTATTCCATGGGATCATATGTTAAAAGCGAGGTTTCTTTATTCTTTAGTTCTTCTTTAGTCTTTGGACTTTTAGGGTACCAGCCAAATTTCAAGGTTTTCTAGAAAACATATAACGTAATGGCCATTGAAAAAAAATCTCACTTTGATACACCTGGGTGCTTGTATAGCTGTCAAAGATACATTGATTATTGTGACACAGACAGAGAGAACACTACATGTTGATGATGAGAACCAGTGTCACTCATGGTTACTACATGCTTCAGTACATGAGCTAATACATAAAAAACACATAAACAAATACCGGTAGGCAAAAAACAAAAGACTAATTGCTAAAAAAAACCAACAACAGTATATATGGTAAAACAGCTAAAAGAAGTGATTAACAGAGAAAAAAAAAAACTATTTTACCCACAATCCCACTCTGTGTTCATGTGACCATAAGTCATCTTGAATGACCAATGAAGTACCGTACTCTCACTGAGTCACGAGGACCCACCCCAGTTTAAATAATGTTTAAAAAAATCTGAAACGGGGAGAGAGACTGGGTGAACGCAGATGTCGGGGTGGTTTCCACCGTGCAGATTCCAACTGAAAGTCCCAAAGAAAAATGATCGCCACCAAAAACAACATTGAAGATTTTAAAGGTGGACCATGATGGTGTCTTAGATTTATGAAACGATATGACCAGCGCGGTTTGTTTATGTTAAAATTGTGTTTTATTTAGAGATGTACCGATCCGATACCAATTTCGGTATCTGTCCCGATATTGAAACAAAAAAACTTCTGGATCGGGTATTGTGACAATGTGACAAATCCATGAATGGGCAGATCTATTCACTCTAATTTTATGCTTTGTGCTCTGAGTGACATCACGCGCTAGCAAACTCACCACACAGATTGCTTTCAAAATGGAGCGAGCAAAAGGGTCAGCCATCTGGAACTATTTCACACTACCTCAGCCAACACATTGGACAGCTACGCGCAATACGTGCACAGCGATGGTTCCTGGGGGTGTCACTAAAACTTCCAGTTATAACACTACCAACTTAATCAAGCATCTCCAGAGATTTCACCATAAAGAGCACACTGAGTTTGTTGAACGGAATTCAGCTCTGTTTTTCTGTTCCAGGTTGGTATCGGATCGATATCGTTCCATACTAAAATGTGGGTATCGGTATCGGAAATGGAAAAAAGTGAATTGGTGCATCCCTAGTTTTATTTTAAAAGTACTTTGTAGTATGCGCGACTTATACTCAGGTGCGTTCTATATACCGGAAATTACGGGGTAGTCAAAAGTGAGTTTTGTTTACGTCCAGTGTGTCCCAAAAGTAGCGTAATAAACAAACACAAAAATTGTAGAACTTTCTGTTATTGTCCTGTTTCTAGTTGTTTCGTTGTTTTTGGTTTAACTGTTTTATGTGGTTTTATTTGTACCATGTTTTTCAGACTATAAGGTGCACTTAAAATCCTTTAATATTCTCAAAAATCGACAGTAAGCCTTATGTATTAATTCTGGTTGTGCTTAGTGACCTCAAACCGATTTTATGTGGTACAACTGAATGATGATAGTTATTGTGAATGAGTTGAATAAAGTTTGACTTATCTAGTTTCGCTTAATATTTCACCTTATATACGAAAACAGACCCGTTCATTGATATTGCGCCTTATAATCCAGTGTGCCTTATAGTCCGAAAAATATGGTAATATTATTGTATGTTTCTATGTCTAACACCATCATCCATGCTTCATATGTAGCTTTTTTTAGTGTCTCCCGCAGCGTTTAGGACTCATGAATGCTCTAAATGTGCAGTTTGTGGTTTGGTTAGGTGGGGATGCAGCCCTTTACCCCCTTTGCATGGTGCCTCTTCCAACTCAATTAATATTTTCTGTTTGTAACCGGAATACCTAAAAAGGCATCTGCTGCCAGTGCATGGCACATGAAACGCAAAAGCTCTTCTCTTTTGTTTCTGTTTTCTGGGCAGCAGCCATATAGCAGTGGGAGGTTTGGATCACTTATTATTCCACAAGATCAGAAGTTAACATGGGATTTATCCAAATCAGTCTGCCTTTAATTCTCCTAATTACTTTTACATTTTTTGTTGTTAATGTTTTGGCTTCCAAGATTTTATTTGATCTTTTTCAGTTTTAAGCTACCCTGAAATCGCTTTAACAGAAGAAACTGCTGAGGTTTGTTTTCAGCTCCAACATCTGCATTTAATTCCACCGCTCCTTTTCCACTCACGCAGCTGGTTTTAGTAACGCTCGCTCCAAACAGCTGCTGTTTTGTAAACACGTAGCGACGCCGTGCGCTCAATTACAACTTCGGTCCCACGTGCAGTTAACGCACGGCCTCGCCTCAGTTTGTTTATGTTTAGTTTAGTTTTGCTCAGAATGTAGGAACACATAAAAGATGTGTTTATCCTTGTAACATGGGTGGATTTTTAGTTCCAAATGTGTTCCAGCTTGGAGGACGCCTGAAAACAAAACAGTCAGAAATAATCTGCTGGATCTGTTGCCTCACAGTAGTTGATGTGATTCGGCTTCTGTAATTTGAAGAGCTGGGCGGCATTTGCACGCCCTCAGACTCAGTCGAGACAAACTGCTTTGCAGCTGTTGAGATTAAACATTATTTGAATCAAGCTTTGAATAATTCTCTTATATAGACCAAGAACGTGGCAGATACTGACAGGTGATTAATCCAAATCTCCCCAGCTAAGGTTGACATTTTAATAAAATCCCAAGAAAAAACTTGTATTAATTTTCCAAGGATTGACAACGTGAGATCACCCATTCATCCACGACTTCATAACCAGCTTCTGTTTTGGACGTGTGGTTTGTGCACGGGCCATTCTCCTCGCCATGACCAGTGGTGTCATGGCGACAGAAGAAATGGTTCAGTTGTGAATGCTTGCCCGCTCTTTCTATTGCCGTGCATGTACATACCAAACAACCGGATGGCAAAATATCTTACATCGCAGCCTGTTTTGTAACAGAATGCATCATAAACATAAAAACACATAAAAACATTAAAAACAGACAAATGACTTTTAACATCGCAGTTCCTTAGCACTGTAAATGTGTTTCGTTTAGAATGTAAATGTTGTTACCAAAGATATTCTGCTGATTATGCTAACGTGCAACATTAAATAGCTTTACATGAAATTTAAAACCTCACTGTATTTAAAGAGTTTAAATCAATAAATAAAGATACATCTTCCGTTTATTAAGTACATAAAGTGTTAGCTAACACTTCCAATGAGAGAAAACGACAGATAAAAAGTTACAAGCTTTATAAAGAAGTTATTTTACCACTGGCTGACCAATGAAGCAAGTGGAGCAACTGTACCCCCCATTTTTCAAGTGGGGGTGGAAACTTAAGTTCCTTCTTCCAGCAAAGTGACAAATCCACCAAGTCTTTATAACTTGTATTTGTACTTCTAAAAAAGTTAAATCTGGTCCTCTGGACATTCAAAGAAACAAAACAAAAAAAAATTGTAGAAGCGTTTCGTCTTTCATCCGAAACACTTCCTCAGTCTGAGGTGCTGTATTCAGCTCAGTCTTATAAATAGCACCTTCTCAGAGTGGATCAAGCAGTTTGCTGCTGACAACCAAAACCAGCTGATCACATGCTCAAGAAGGATCATCAGCCTAACAATGGATCATTAGCACACTGATGGCTGTTTACTACTCACAGAGGGCTGAGTGATACTAGCAATCACAGCATTGTAAGAGGGGGACAGTTGAACCCGGAGGCCTCCACCCCTGTTTA